GGAAAGCCTAAGTCATCAGTAATCATATTAGATCATGGGATAACCTTGAAAAAGGAAGCATGCACAAGGAAGACAGACACTGCCTGGATCCCCATTGACTTTGTGGAAAGAAAAGTGTATCAGTCTTGGACTGCTTTCTTCTGAATTTCTTTAAATGAGAAAATAAATCCTAATGTATGGTTCCCAAACTTTGATGAAAATGAGAATCACCCAATGAGCTTTTAAAAATCTGGACACCAAGGCTGTTCCCCATACTAATTAAATAGGAATATCTGGGGATTGAAATCAGGTATAAATACTTTTCAAAGACTCTCAGATAGATTTCAGGCTTGGACACTATTGCTTTATGTACTTAAGTCCCCCGTATTAAGTTCCTATTACTAATAGCTGATTCTACATATGATACTGATTAAGTATCAGGGGGAAAAAAAGAATATCTTTATGGTTATATTTTTAAGTAAAAACCTGCAAATGTAAAGGCATTTTTAAACATCACTACACTGTAATTTATCATTACCGAAGTAAGACAGAGTGTATTAAATTACTTTGCTTATTTTTAAAGCATTGTCTCATTTAATCCTCACCTCAACCCTATGAGGCAATACCATGCATGTTTTACAGCTGAAGAAAGAAAGAGGCTCAGAGAAAGCAACTTATTCAGGGTCTTACATCATGTAATTGGCAGAGCCAAAATACAAGGTCTTATTTGTGTAACTTCAAGGCTTGTGCATTCTCCAATATGCTGTAACTCAAGAAGAAGAAACTGAGAGACATCTAAAGAGTTATATTTTTTTTCTTAAGGAAAGGACAAATTTGAAAACTAATTTCAAAAATGAATAGGGGAAAAGGAACCCAATTAAATTTGTAGGCATTTTTATGAACCACAAAAATATTACCTTCAAGTTACATTTTAATAAAAAAATTGCTCATAAGTAACATTAAATAAATTTTAAAAATAAAGAATTTATAATTTGTCAGCTTTGCAAATAGATCTTTAGGAAGTACTATCATTAGAGCAGAGGAAAAACTGGCTAATGAGAAAGAATTTATTAAAAAACATACAATCTAAATTAGTTAATTCAGTGACTTAACTAAATTCTGAGACAATTATTAAATTTAAATGCACAGATTTTCAGAAAGTTCTCAGCTCTTTCACTGGCTGGCTCTTTTATATAATACCATTTATACTAAAAAGTTAATGTTGATTAAGTGACAGAGAACAATAAGGAAACAGAGGGTTTGAACAACACTGTGCAAATCAACTGGACCTCACGGACATATGAACCCTCCGCCCAACTGTAGGAGAATATGCATTCCTCTCAAATGTACAGGGAACCTTCTCCAGGACAAACCACGTTTCAGGCCATGAAACAAGTCTTAACAAATTCAAAAGTGAAATCATACAAAGTATTTTTTTCTGGTCACAATGGAGAAAAACAGAACTCAATTTGTACAAAGTGAAAACCTGAACATAGAAAGCCATTTTAAAATATTATACTGCAATTTATTATTAAAGTAGGAAAATAAAGAGTATATTTATTGAGTACTTTGCTCATGTTTTAAGAATTATGTTATTTAATCCTCCAATACATGGAAATCTTACAACAGACTCTTAATGAGTCAAAGATGTCACAAATGAAATTATAGAGAACACTGTGAAAGAAATGAAAATGAAAACACAACATATCAAAACTTATGAGATTCAGCTAAAGCAGTGCTAAAAAGAATTTTATAGCTATAAATGCGTACATTAAAAGATCCCAAAGTAACAACCTAATCTGACATCTCAAAAAACTACAAAAGAACAAACTAAATCCAAAGCTAGCAGAAGAAAATAATAAAGGGTAGACTGAAAATCGAAACAGAGAACAGAAAAATAGAAATAATCAACAAAACTAAGTTAGATTTTTAAAAAGATCAACAAAATTGATAAATCCTTGGCTAGATTAAGAAAAAAATAGATGACTCAAATAACTAAAATCAAGAAAGTAGGGTCAATACAACTGATGCCACAGAAATAAAAAAATAATAAGAGAATACTATGAAAAACTGTACATCCACAAATTCAAATAATCTAGAAATAATAAATCCTTCGACACACAACGTACCTAGACCGACTCATTTAATAAATGGTAAATCTGAAAAGACCGATAATGAGAAAGGAGATTAAATTAGTAATCTAAAACTTGCCAAAAAAAGAAAACCCTATGACCACATGGCTTGACTGAAGAATTCTACCAAACATTTAAAGGAGTAACACTATTCCTCTGGAATTCTTCCAAAAATACTAAAGAGGAGGAAATACGTCCCAAGCTTATTCTATGAAGCCCTGATAGCAAAGCCAGACAAGAAAACTACAGACCATTATTTCTGATGAATACTGATGTAAAAATCTTCAACAAAGTACTAGCAAATCGAATTGAATGATGCATTAAAAGGATTACACACCATGACCAAGGGGGATTAATTCCGGGAATGCAAGAATGGTTCAACATAGGACAATCAATACATGTACTATACCACGTAACAGAATTAAGGAATAATATGATCATCGCAATAAATATAGAAAAAAGACTTGGCAAAATTCAACACTTCTTCATCATAAGAAACATCTGACAAACTAAGAACAGAAAAAACACTATCTCAACATAACAAAGCAATTTATGAAAAGTCCACAGCAAACATCATACTCAATGGTGAAAGACTGAAAACTTTTCTTCTAAGATGGGGAACAAGGAGGCCCACTCTCATTTCTCTTCAACATGATATTAGAAGTTCTAGCCAGAATAAATAGGCAAGAAAAAGAAATGAAAGGCATCCAAACTGCAAAGAAAGAGGTAAAATGATCTCCAGTAACAGATGGCAGGATCTTATATGTAGAAATGCCTACAGGTTGTGTGCACATGCACACACACGTACTGTTAGAATAAATAAATTCAGCCAAATCACAGGACACAAAATCAGTTGTTTCTATACACTAACAGTGAGCAATCTGATAAAGAAATTATGAAACAATTCCATTTATAGTAGCATGAAAAAAGAATACTTAGGAATAAACCTAACGAAGGAGTTGAAAACCTTGTGCACTGAAAACTACAAAACATTATTGAAAGAAATTAAAGAAAACACAAATAAGTAGAAAGATGTTCACAGATTAGAAGACTTAAAACTGTTAAGATGTCCATACTATCCAAAGCATTCAGATTTGACACAATCACAATCAAAATCCCAATGGCATTCTTTATAGAAATATGATAATTCATCCCAAAATTGATATACAATTCTAAGGAACATGTAAATAAGCCAAAATAATTTTCAGATAGAAGAACAAAGTGAGAGCACACTTCCTGATTTTAAAACTATTAGAAAGCTAAGCAATCAAAACAGTATGGTACTATATTCTGGTTTCTCTTCAGATCGTATAAATCTTACACCTTTTACAAAACAGTATGGTACTGGCATAAAGACAGACTAGTGGAATACTACAGAGGGCCCAGAAATAAATCCTTGCATATGGTCAAATGATTTTTAACAAGGGGCCAAGACCACTCAATAGGGAAAACAGTCTTTTCAAAAAATAGTGCTGGGAAAACTAGCTATTTACATGCAAAAAAAAAAAATGATGCTGGACCCTTATCTTACACTATGTATGAAAATTAGCTCCAAAAGGATTAAAAACCTAAGTGTAAGATGTAAAACCATAAAACGCCAACACAAAAGCATAACGGAAACCTTTATAACATTGGAGATAGCAATAATGTCTTGGAAATGACATCAAAAGTATAGGTAACAAGAAGGAAAAGAGACAAACGGGCCCACAACATGCATAAAACCTTTTGTGCATCAAAGGACATTATCAAAAGAGTGAAAATGCAACCTATGAAAAGAGAGAAAATACTCATAAATCATGTATCTAGTAAGGAGTTAATATCCAGAATATGTAATAGATTCCTAAAACTTAAAAACAAAAATCAAACAACTCAATTAAAAAGTGGGTAGAGAATTAAATGGACATTATTCCAAACGTGATATACTAATGGTCAATGAATATATGAAAGGATGCTCAACATCACTAATCATCAGTGAAATGCCAAATCAAAACCATAATGAGGTATCAACCTCATACCTATTAGGATGGCTACTGTCCAAAAAACAAAATATAACAAATGGTGGTGAGGATGTGGAAAAATTCAAATGCTTGTATACTGTTGATGAGACTGTAAAATGGAGCAACTGGTATGGAAAACAGTATGAAATTTCCTCAAATTAAAAACAGAACTATGATATGATCTAGCAATTCAGCTTCATAGTATATATCCAAAAGAATCAAAAGAAGGGTCTTGAAGAGATATTTACACATCTGTGTTTATCACAGCACTATTTACAACAGTCAAGAAGTGGAAGTAACCCATGTGTCCAACAGAGAAATAGATATACATACAGGCAATGGAATATTATTCAGCTTTAAAAGGCAACACAATCCTGTCACATGCTACACCATGAATGAATCTTGAAGACATTATGCTAAGTGAAATAAACTAGTCACAAAAAAACAGAATGAGTCCATTTATATGAGGTATCTAAAGGAGTCAAATTCATAAAAACAGAAAATAGAATGAATAGTGGTTACTAGGGGCTAGGGAGCTGGGGAGAGAGGGGAATGGGAGTCATTTAAATGGGTATTCAGATGGATTTCAGATGTATCAGATGAAAATGTTCTCGAAATCTGTTTCATGACAATGTGAATATACTTAACACTACTAAACTGTATACTTAAAAATGGTTAAGATTGAAAATTTTTATCATTTTATGATCATATAAAAATGTTTAAGGTATTGTTTACTGAATTATCCCTAACTCAATACAGGAATTATTAAATACACATTCACAGAGTTTTAAAACTCTGAAAAAAAAAATACATTACACTAATGCCTAAAAAAGCATATGAAAAGTATTTTAGATTCTACAAAAGACTGTTAAAAACATACAATCCTACTTACCTTGGCTTGTCTCTTTTTTCTCTTTGTCTTTCAAAATCTCGTCCTCTGTCCTTTCCGTCTCTTGGTTTTTCTTCTATCCTGTCTTTTACTTTATACTTTTCTTTATATTTTTTCCCCAGAACAATATCTTCCTGTAAAGGAGGGGGTGGACTAGGAGTTCGAGGTCCTTTCTTTTTACTCTGGTTGCCTTTTGAATTCCTGAAGGTAACATAATACTATCATCAGAGATCCAAATACTTTTGGAAGGTCAAATGGGGTATTTTTTTCTTTTAATAAACTACATTTTAAAAATGGGAGCCTTCCTTTCAATGACTTGCCTTTTACTATTTTATATAGTAGTAATCAATATCAAGAAAAAAAGCAACACACAGAAATGAGCGAATAATTTACTTGCCACTTATATAATTTTAAAGGGTAGGTTTCTGAGAAAGAGGTAGAGTGGAAAGAGTCTTTAAAAAATAACATAAGAGAACTGCATGAACTAAATCTTTTTTAATGTTTTTATTTCTGAGAGAGAGAGACAGTGCGAGCAGGGGAGGGCCAGAGAGGGAGGGAGGTACAGAATCTGAAGCAGGCTCCAGGCTCTGAGCCAGCTGTCAGCACAGAGCCCAACGCGGGGCTCAAACCCACGAACCGTGAGATCATGACCTGAGCTGAAGTCGGACGCTTAACTGACTGAGCCACCCAGGCGCCGCAGAACTAAATTTTTTAAACTTACATATAAAAGTAGATGAAGAAAATAAAAATCACATATAATTCCACTACCCACGGATAAGCCTTGCTAACACCTTGGATATATGACCACACTTTTTCCATGTCTCTTCCCCCTCCTTTAATCCTATTGTAACATTCTGTAAAACATTTGTACTAAAGATAGCATGGGTATCTTTCTACACCAAAAAATAGATTTAATTATTTTTATAAACTGTATTGAATTTCATCAAACAAGTATACCCCCCATAACTTCTTTAAAGTTTCAGATTGGTAAGTTTTCAGGTGGCCTCCATGTTTTATTATAAGGAACACAAAATTACATCATCTATAAATGAAATCCTAAACATTGTTAGTAAACACTCATTTAAATCTTTGAGTCTTGCTTAAGAAATATTTCTCAACCTTAGGGTTATAAGAATATTCCCCTAATTTTTGAGAATTTTGTCTTTTATATTTAATCTACCTAAAAGTGATTTTTGGGTATAGAATATCCTCTTTAATTTAGCACTTTAAATAATTTTATCCAAATGGTGTGCCTTTGACCTTTATGTATCCAAAGTTGTCTGTCTTTAACTTCATATAATACACAATGATTTAACTGAATACAGTATTATGGGATCAATATCCTTTTCCCTCAGAACTCTATAAATATTGTTATAATATCTTATAAAATTTAGTGTTGTAGATGAAAACTATAGTCTGTTTTATTTTCCTATGCATGTTACCCAGTTTTTTAGCTGGGATAATTGTAATTCTTCACTGTAAATTAAAAATTTCATGAAGATATATCTAGGTTTTCTTTTTTTTTTTAACCTTTTCCAGAACTCAGTGAACCATTAAAGTTTTTTTTTTTTTAATGTTTATTCATTTTTGAGAGACAGAGAGACAGATCATAAGCATGGAAGGGGCAGAGAGAGAGAGAGGGAGAGACAGAATCTGAAGCAGACTCTAGGCTCTGAACTGTCAGCACAGAGCGTGACATGGGGTTTGAACTTAAGATCATGACCTGAGCTGAAGTTGGACGCTTAACAGACCTAGCAGCCCAGGCACCCCAATAAAAAATTATTTTAAAAATTACTTTAAAGATAAAATAGAGGAATTCTTGACACAAACTGTATTTTCACATTACTTCCTGTGACAAAGACTAGCTAGGTGTTTACTAAATTTTGTCCTGGGCACACTACTGAACTATACTGTCTAGACTTCTTTGAAATCAGATATGGCCAAATAACCAAGTTCTGGCCAAAAAATGTGAGTGGAAGTGATGTACATCACCACCAGGCCTAATAAAAGATTCTCATACTCCAGGCAATTGTAAACTGTAGAGCCAAATAAAAGCGGTACTCCAATTAAATTTGTTTCTTCACATATTCCATTTTTGATGTCTACAAAATCCCAAGTGAAGCCACATCAAAAGGAGCCTGGGTTACTGAATCTTTATGTGTAAAAGAGCAACCTGTTAATCAGAAACATCCATTTTGATTTTACTTGAGTGAGGAAATAAGCCTCCATAGCATTAAACTCACATTTTGGGACTAAGCTATTATAACAATCAATTATACCAATACACTCACTACAGTACAGAATTTCTTCACATTTCCTTCAAAAATATACGTAGTTCAAAATCACGGTTATGCTACAATATAGGGTTTTCAAGTGCCTCCCAACTACAGGGATCAAAATTGGTTCTGCACATTCTAAAGTCAACAAGATCTTTCGACATTTTTTAAGTCAACTGATAATTCTGTAGTGGCACAGAGACTACTTCCTATTTATGGCAGAGTTCAATTATCTGCTTCTATCATTTTTATATCCTTTCTTTCTCCTCAAAACTTCTTTTGAAAGGCTTTTGACCTCTTTCATTCCTTCTTTGTTCACAGAGCTATAAGGGAAAATTTACTTATTAAAAATGAAGAGACAGTGTAGATGGAAAGAACAGATAATACATTTGAGGATGCTAAGCCAAACGGTCATCAGCCTAAAGCTAGCTATCAGGATATATCTCACAAAGAATATCAAAGAAAACTGCCATCTTTTGTCTTTTATTTTTTTTAATGTTTTATTTATTTCTGAGAGAGAGAGAGAGAGAGACAGCGTGAACAGGGGAGGGTCAGAGAGAGAGGGAGACAGACTCTGAAACAGGCTCCAGGCTCTGAGCTGGCTGTCAGCACAGAGCCCGACGGAGCTCAAATTCATGAACCTTGAGATCATGACCCGAGCCGAAGTCGGATGCTTAACCGACTGAGCCACTCAGGCGCCCCTGAAAACTGCCATCTTTAAGGGAGAAACAGGAGTTTCAATTTGTCTATAATCATGCTCCCTACTATGATAACCACATAAGACCAACAAGTCTGTTTACCTGATTTGTCACCTCAATTGATTTACTGGCATTGGCTATAACACCCTACTGATTTTAACTGAAATTCTAATCCTTATCTTTTGCTTAATATGCCTTAATATGTAACAGCTTACAGTATGATCCAGCAATGAAACCAGAAGTTGATGATTCGACATACTCTACACAAGGTGCATGGCTATAGAAATGCTATACTCAATGCAATGTTCTTAGTACCTCTAATGTACTGTTTTCAGGCCCTTCTCCTTCTATTATTAAATTAATGGTGTATCTTAAAGTCAACAACATCTGAGAATACAAGAAATACAGCTGTTACATTGAAGGGAGTAATTATTCATGCTAAATACTGAGAGGATGAATGAGTTATACTAATAAAGCAGTGAAAGAAGACTATATGAAGAACACAATGAACTAACCTTCTGTCTCAACAGTTAATAAGACTTTCTATGAAGAGATTAAATTTCAAAGATTTTATAAATAGAAAGGATAAGAAAATTAAAAAAGGGTATTTCTGGTATGTTGTTTTTTTTCCCCCAGAAATGGATGGAATTGAGGGAATTAGCCAAAAAGAACAAGAGGAGTGGATCACATCATTTTATAGTTCATATAGTTCCCTTTTTCCATATTTCTTTGCAATATTCACTCACTCCCAGGAACAAAGGAGAGGATCAAGTCAATTTTACAGAGTGCCTTATTACAATGCAAAGCTCAATGCAAAGTAGGTGCTGTGGGGAGAAAAAACAATAAACCATGAAGATCCCAATCTTCAAGGAGCTTAAATTTAATAGAGGTTGTAATATATGTATGCCACAGATGAAATACAATGCAAGGTAAAAATAAAACCTGATATACAAAAGGAACATAAATTATGCTCAGTAAAAACAAATAATAAACTTAATGGAAAGGTAGAATTTGAGCTAGACATTGAAGAACTGAAGGTGGAAGAGGGAAGGAAGAAGACTGAACAAAAATATTAACAAGACTGAAAAGAGTAAAGTATAAAGGCCATTCTCAAGATTTTGAATTTTGGGGCGCCCAGGTAGCTCAGTTGGCTGAGCATCTGACTTCAGCTCAGGTGATGATCTCACAGTTCATGGGTTTGAGCCCTGCATTGGGCTCTGTGCTGACAGCTCAGAGCCTGCTTCGGATTCTGTGTCTCCCTCTCTCTGCCCCTCCCCAACTCACACACTGTCTCTCTCAAAAATGAATAAACATTAAAGAAAAAAAAAAGAAGAATCTAAATTTTATTCAACCAACTGGAAAACCACAGAGTTTTTCAATGACAGAGTAAATTAACCGCAATCGTTCTTTCAAGATTTCTCTCACAACATCTGTAAAATGAATGAATTGGAGTTGTGAATGAAATGTTTATGTGCCCAGAGGGGTGGATACTAGGTAAAGTCAATACAGTGAGAAGGATGATACAGTAATCTAGGCAAAAGTAACTGGAGTCTGAAATAGGGTGAAAGACTCTAGAAACTAGAAGGAAGACAAATACAAATTTCACTGTGAACTCAGTTCACCAATTGGTCATATCTTATAAAGAGGTTAGTTTGGCTTTTTTTTCTTGAATAAAATTAGTGTATACACTTTTAATTAAAACAAAACTTAAATAGAACAGAATGACATTAAATAGAAAAGTGTCTTCTTAGTCCCTCAGTGTAATCATATTTAATCATTTCTACTTTTATTTCAACTGGCTTTTGTAATAATTCTAAATATACTCATACTGCTTATATACAAATATAAGCTAAGAATCTAACCTCATGACCATGTGCACAAGGAGTTATGAAAAATGTTCACTGTGTATAATTTGTAATAGTGAAAAACTGAAAACACCTTACAGGTTCTACAACAGAAAAGTATACAGTATAAATACTCAAATGACAAAGACCACACAGATCAATACAAATATAAAAAATGTTAAATAAAAAAGAAAGTTGCAGAAGCAAAGCTTTAATATAGAAGTACTAAGATTAAACAGATAAAAATAATACATATGAAAGTATAAATGTACATGCTCAAGTATCAAAAACAAATTCAGAGGGAAGGACAGGAAATACGTGTGTGTGTTAGGTTTTGTTTTTAAAAAATAAAAAGCTCTGAAGCACAGTAGATGGAACACAGGCATTTGTTTTATTGTTCTCTATCAAGTTTCTTTTAAACTGAAACATTTTATACTTTTTTTTCTTTTCAAACTTTTATTTAAATTCTATTTAGTTAACACACAGTACAATACTGATTTCAGGAGTAGAAATCATGGATTCATCACTTGTATACAACACCCAGTGCTCATCAAAAGTGCCCTCCTTAGTGTCCATTAGCCATTTAACCCATCCCCCACCCACATCCCTCCAACAACCCTGTCTGTTCTCTATCTTTAAAAATCTCTTCTTACAGTTTGTTTCCCTCTCCCCCCCCCAATATGTTCATCTGTTTTGTTTCTTAAATTCCATATATGAGTGAAATTATATGGTTATACCTTTATTTTAGAAGAAAAAAACTTACATTAAATACTGAATATATTAAAAGGATTCTTCTATAATCTACTAATTACTCTGAGTATCACTTCAGAAAAAATATTTCACTCTGGCGTGATTTACCACCCTACTGACCTCTGCTGGTCCAACAAGGGTGAAGATACTGCAGTTGCCTTCCGGTCTTTCTTGCTTGCTGAAGATGATGATTTAGGGCTTGACTTTCGCTTTGGGGATTTGCTCGACTTTCTTAGTGAAGGAGATGGAGATAATTTTGATCTAATCACTTCTGGTGAAACCTTTTAAAAGAATTCAGTAAGTCCATTCATAAACTCCTTCAATCATGGCTGTTATAAGCAGATAACAAAGCAGGTGTTTCTAAATCATACCAAACTTCAAATGAAATATTAAGAGATATTATAACTACCTCATATTAGTCTGACTCCTAAACACATGCTTTTAACCAATATGCTAATTATAATTAACGGCCATAATACTAGTATCAATAAAGCAAACTAAAATTATAAAATTCCAAAACTTCCTCAGAAAAACTACATATTATATTCAAATAAATTGTAGCCCTACTCTTTAGGTAAAAAACAAGTATTCTAGGCATAGCTTAGGCCTAAAAAACAGACATACATAGATTTAAATAGTATTTAACATTAGCCGGTAACGCTACAAAGCACAACCTCAGTTTTTTCACCGGTTCAAAAGCAAAAATATTTCCTATTTATCTAATAGAGTAATGTGAATGAATATTAACATGTAATTGATATACACCAATTTGATCAATGTATCAATATCCTAATATAATATAATAATCCTAATATAATACAGGCAGAACAGCTAATGAGTTCTCTGATCAATATCCATGTTAATATTAATTACTAACATCTTTCAATAAATAGCATACCTCCTTTTTAATAATAATTTCTTCTCTCTTGTCCATGTTTTCTTGTTCGAGCTTCATTAATTCCCTCTGTATTTTTTGACGCTTCATTTCCAATGACAACTCATGAACATAATCATAATTAATATCTCCATTGTCAGAATCTTTAAGATAAAATGTCATTACTTGTCAGAAACTATCAAAATTATCCACACCAAAAATTATAGAAATTTTTTCAACTAATTTTTTATACAAATTAAAATGATAGTCTTTCATTAGAATGACATACTTCTCAGAGGTAAAAATATATATGCTATCTCTATAAAGGATTAAAATCAGTATGGCTGATATGTTTATGAAATGCCAAACATTTATAAGATACTTGGGTTTTCTGAAAGTGATTTTCGGTGTCTGGGGGTTGGGTTTTTGGTTAGGAAATGGGATTTTACAATTTTGCAATTAAAAACTCACATGTAAATTTTAAGTATTAAAAACACCAAAGCCTTCAGTATTTCATGCTGTATATGATATGATTTCATTATGTCCCTGACTTTCTTAAAAATACTAAAATTCATTAGTATTAAGTGAAGGTTACATTAGGTGTCCTACATTGTTTCCATATTTCTTTTTTATTAGTGACACAATTGATTTTTATATAAAACTAAAGTTTGGTAATTTTAATACTAATGTGTACATGAGCTAAAGTCTGAAAGGTCTGTAACTTTCCATTATAAGCGATTTGTACTAGTTCCATAGATCAGAACTGCCCATCTCAACAGATGTGATGTGATGTCTTTATTTCTATTCACTATTTCCAGTGGAAAAAAATATAAAGACTGGTTAAGGAAGAAAAAAGAAAAGAAAAAGAGTGATGTGCAGAGCTATTTCTTCACAACATGCAGAAGTTTTCAACAGCTACTGGCACTGCCACCCAACATCTAACCCTTATTTGCTATATATAAATGCCAAAAAGCCTAGAGGAAGGAATTTCAGTGACTCTTATCCTAACACATGACAATGTTGGGCTTGACTGATAACAAGCAGAGATACCTTTTCAAACTATACCTTTTAGCACTAAAGATCACCATTCCTTAACCTGTGGTAAAGAAATAAAATGAAGAACTAAAAAACAATAAAGATAAACAGTCCTACTTCACTGATGAAAGCACAAGAAAATGAACATCATTGTCATGTACAGATCAAATACATTATAATTCCAAATATCCATTTATTTGCTTGGGAATAGAGAGGGTAGCTACATAGTCTTTAACTATGTAACTAAATTGATTACTCATCTTATATTGGAAGATGATGACCAGTTTTCAGTAAATATATAAAACAGACTCACATTTTTCAGTCAGAAAGTAATTACTCAACATTTAAGGACTATATTTACTGGATATAATTTACTAGATAAGAACCATATTTACTAGGTTAATTTACTATATTTAAAAACTATATTTACTAGGTAAAATGATTGGAGATACTGAAATAAATAATGGCAACCTCAAGTACTATTTTGTACTCTGAGACACTTTATATCAATGAATAACAGGGTTCAAAGATTCGGTTTGACAATATTCTTAAATTACCAGCAGATAAAATTCCATAGCTAAATACTAAGTATGTATAAAACAAAGGGAAGAGTAATTGATTGCAAAGAGTGATTTATAGTGTTTTTAATGGTATTATCAATAATACCCTGCACCCCTCTAAAAACTGCTACCTGGAAACATCACCAATACAGAACACAGGTAAGAAATGAAAAGTTGTCTTCAATCCTTCAATCCCCAGCTACCCTACCAAGGAGAGTAAGTCTGAACAACTAAAATATATGTCAGAGTCCATAAACTATAACTAATATATTTTGCTTAGAGGAAAAGCTCTCTAGTCTTTACTCAGATATGATTTATTCTTATTTTATGCATAGCTAATATAAACAAAAGGAAGATGTCTTCCTGGCCTACAGGAAATGAACTACAAAACAGGCATGATGCGACCTGACAAAAAGAGATATCATGATAGTCTCCTGACAAAAAAAGAAAATGAGAAGGCACAAAACACAGACTCAAACTCAAAAAAAGAAAAAAAAGTCTGAAACCATTAATAAATTTAGAAAATGTGTCCCATATCTTGGGGTTATCATTATAACTGCCTTTTAATAAAAACTAATTCATAAAGATGATTAGTCTAAGTTATCAGAAAAATATTAAATATACTTTGAATGGCATAGTTCACAAGGCAAAGATTTTTAAGAATATATAATAGAAAAATACATACAATACATAAGGCTGACGTTCTTTATACATACAGAGTTCTTAGTGATTTAAAGGAGAATGAGCAAGGACACAGGCAATTCACAAAAAGAAATGCAAGTGATAGGATAAATATGCCTTTTTCATGTATTAAAGAACCACTTTTTTCTAATTCTAGTATGGTATTAGTAAAGGTACAGATAAAAGGTATGTTCATTCTTTGAAGGTAACAGTGTAAACTAGGATACTGGGACATCTATCTTGGAAAGTAATATGGCAAGTAATGTGGACAAATGCCTTAAGAACATTAATACCCTTTAATATAACAAGTTTACTTCTAGTAATTTGTTTTATCCAAATAGTCATAGAAATATAAAAGGTATATGTGTATGGATTAAAGACTGTATATTTAAGTATTTGCTTCTGTCTTTAATGTATATATTCTCACTATTAAAAGTGTTTTTTTTTTTTTTTTTTAAATGTTTTATTTATTTCTAGGAGAGAGAGAGAGAGCGTGAGCCGGGGAGGGTCAGAGAGAGAGGGAGTCACAGACTGAAACAGGCTCCAGGCTCTGAGCTGGCAGTCAGCACAGAGCCCGACGTGGGGCTCGAACCCACGAACCGTGAGATCATGACCCAAGCGAAAGTCGGACGCTTAACCAACTAAGCCACCCAGGCGCCCCTAAAAGTGTTAATTCTTAAGTACGAAGAGTAAAATGAGAAATTTCCTTATTCTCCTCCCACTGCTATCCTTACTCCAGTGATAACAATGTAGTTTAGTGCTACATGTATAAAAATAAAACTTCATATTTATGCTCTTTAAAATAATAGGACTAAAACTACACACACTGCCCTACAGAAATACCTTTCCATGTCAGAGAGATGAACCACTTTAATATCTGCAAACCATTTCATGACAGAACGTATTATAATTTATTTAACCAGTTTCCTTTGGACACACAGTTTGTTTTCAATATTTTGCTCTATAAACATGACTTCAATGGACATTCTGACACCTTCCCTGGTTGACAAGTGCAAGTATTTCTTTAGGGCAGATTTTTTTTTAACGTTTATTTACTTAGTTTGAGAGACAGTAAGAGAGTGCCAGCTTCTGAGCGGGTGAGGGGCAGCGAGAGCAGAAGAGAATCCCAAGTACATCCAATGCTATCAGGGCACAGGGCCCAATTTAATACCTGAACCATGAGATCATGACCCAAGCCGAAATCAAGAGGTGGATGCTTAACCGACTGAGGCATCCAGATGCCCCTAGGACAGATCCATTAAACTATGGAGTTACTGGATCAAAGAGGAGTAGAATTTTACTTTTAATATTACCAAACTACACTCCAAAACAGCTTTTACCAACAGAAACTCTCATTTCAAAACATTTGTATTTTTCATTTCTGTTAATTCGATGGAAAAAATTGCTACCTTCTTTTCCTTGACTTTCTTCTGTACTGAGCCTGAGTAGTAACTGACCATTTCTAGTTCCTCTATGAATTACCTACTTTTGCCCATTTTTCAAATAGACTTTTTCTTTTATTTATGGAAGCTCACTTTTATATAGTGTTTTTACCATATGCTTACACGTTACACATGGCAAATATTTCCTTATGGTGATCTACTTTTTGTTATTAAACTGTAGTTTAGTTATACACAAAATTTAAATCTTTATGTACTCAAATAAGGATTCTGAGTTTATGCCTTACTTCCGGAGAATGTACCCACTTATAAGATTACCAAAATACATTATTTCCTCTTCTACTGCAATGATACTATTCCTTTTTATGTTACTGCACTAGTCAGTACGGTAAACAAATAAGAGTAAGTTTAAGGAACCAAATAAAAAACAAAGACGTGGGGGTAAGGTGTTGGAAATATAGGCAGCAACCAGATATGGACAATAAGAATTTGTACTTGGATCCTGAAGGCAATGGGAAATCCAAATTTTATTCATTTTTAATTTTTTTAAATGTTTATTTATTTTTGAGAGACAGAGCATGAACAGGGGAGGGGCAGAGAGGGAGACACAGAATCCAAAGCAGGTCAGCACAGCAGCTGTCAGCACAGAGCCCCATGCAGGGCTCAAACTCACAAACCATGAAATCATGACCTGAGCCAAAGTTGGACGCTTAGCCAAATGAGCCACCCAGGTGCCCCTGAAAATCCAAATTTTAAACGGAGGAATGAAGTGAAGACATTTATTCTTTCAAAAGAGCATTCTGGAACTCCAAGAGTGGAAGAAGATATTCACAATACACATATCTGATAAAAGATCTTATATCCAAAGTATAGAAAGAATTCTAAACAACTAAAAAAACAGGTAATACAACAGAATAAGCAAGTCTAGAACACACAGTTTACAAAACAGATTGTACAGTGGTCAATAAATGTGAAAAAGTTGTCAACTTTATTAGTCATTAGAGAAATGCACACTAAAACCACAATAAGGTACCACTACACACTACCAGAATGGCTAAGATGAAAAAGACAAAAAGTACCATATGAAAAATAACTTTTTAATTTGATATATCTACTAAAAAATGAACATATGCAAACTCCTTGCCTTACCAATACAACTTCCAGGCATAAGATGAAGAGAAATGGGTATAAATTTAGCAAAAGATATGATTAGGGACAGTAACAGCACCCTACTTGTAACCATTCAAAATGAGAAATTATTTTAACATTTATCACCACTAGAATGGATAAATTATGGTATAGTCATACAATGAAAGCCTACATAGCAATAATAATGAACTACAACTATGTGCAGTAAATAATAGGGTTAATCTCAAAAACATACTGTAAGCAAAAGAAACTAAACATAAAAAGAGTACCCTGTATATTCCATTTATACAGAGCTCAAAAACAGACAAAATTAATCAATGGTGGTAGAAATCAGGGTAGTCGTTATCTTTGGGAGGTTGAGGGGTGGGAGTGACTCGAAAAGGAGCACAAGGAGGCTTACGGGAAACTTTCCTATTTATTGATTTGGGTACAGATTATACAAGTGTGTTCTGTTTGTGAAAATTCAATGAATTGCACATGTGAATCATGCACTCTTCTGAACATATAATATACTTCAGTTAAATAAATTCTCTTAAGATTATTCTCTTTTTCAGGTGAAGAATGAATTCAAAGACAAGATTAACTTCAAGGCATGAAGTTAGGAGGTTATTTTGGTAAAATATATTTGTAGGCAATATCTTACTAAATATCTTAATAACTAAAGTAACAGTAGTCATTTAGAAAAACAGGTGGTTCTGAAAGATAGTCAGTAGGTAGAAACTTTGTAAGAACTTTTAAGTTTGCCAGAACTTTGTAAATGTCTAGGGTGAGGAGACGGAGCATCAAATAATGACTCTCAGGTTTTAGAGGATCCAGTAGAAAGTGGTGGTCTTCGGGAACTCAGAGAGATACAGTTGATAGAGCTCCAGATAGTGGATTCATTAATATGCAGATGCTAATGATGCCCTGAAAGGATGATTTCATCCGGAAGGAAAAATTAAAATTGAAAAAAGGTGGCTAGGCAAAGGGAAATCATCTGAAGGCAGATGCCACTTCTAGAAACAGGTGGTTCTCAAAGAGTGGTCTGAGGATTCCTTGGGATCTCCAAGATAATTTTTGGAGTTTCAGAAGACCAAAAATATTTCTACAATACTACATCATTGGGCTGGTTTACTATTCTTTCCTCAGTATATACTGGAGTTTTCCAGAAGTCACATGACATGTAATAGCATTAACAGATTGAATGCAGCAGCAGATATAAAAATCTAGAGGTCTTCTATTCAGTCAGATGTTAAAAAGATTTACAAAAGCATGTAGAACACTGCCCCCTCCTCATAATTTTAATTTGTAAAACCTATCTGTTCTCTATAAAAGTCTATACCTGGGTTTATTATTATCACTGAATAAATTCATAAATAAGTATTTTAAAAACTGCTCAGATTCAATTTCTAATATGGTGAGAACTGAAACAGATAATCCACTAAGTCAAAAGCTGTTTGGGATCCTTAAAAAAAAAAGGTGAAAAATGTCATGAGACCAGAAAGTTTGAGAAATAGTAGTATAAAGCAATTTCTTCTGAGTCTAGCTAAAACTGCTATTCACTTAAGATTTAAAATACAGAAAGTCTATTAAACTGGTTCAGTGTCATTATCTGGGGATTGAGATGACTAAATCCATGATTCAATACTCTCCCAAACATATTTTAATCCATACAGATAAATTATTCAAAATCTGTGAGTTCAAATCAAGAGAAAACTGTAACAGCCATGTATAGATTTTATACGTACAACTATTATAAAAGGCATCTACTCACCTTTTAAGTGAATTTTGTATAGTAAGATCACTTTAGTGTTTTTAAAGATGATAGTCTAGAGTAAAACCCTGGGAATAAAAATTCAAGGGACAGATAAAACACAAGGAGCCTCTGTACCAGATTGGAGGGCTTCATAAGAAGACAGTAATTCTGAAGATTGATAGATGAAATCCAAGCGCAAAGTGTTTCAAGAAGACAGAGGCTCTCGAATGCTGCAGAAAGATTACAGAAGAGAGACAAATATCGGGGTGCCTGGGTGGCTCAGTCAGTTGGGTGTCCAACTTCGGCTCAGGTCATGATCCACAGTTTGCGGGTTGGAGGCCCGCATCGGGCTCTCTGCTGACAGCTAGGAGCCTGGAGCCTGCTTTGGATTCTGTGTCTCTCTCTCTCTCTGACTCTTCCCTGTTCATGCCCTGTCTCTCTCTCAAAAATAAACAAACATTACCCCAAAAAAAGAAGAGAGACAAGTATGTCTTCATTTATTTAGCAAAGAGGAGGTCATTAGCAACCTTCAAAAGCAGTTTTAGTGAAGACGTGGATCAGAAAACTCAGTAAGTATGAGGTGAAAAAAGAAGAGACATTATGGCACAGAGTTCCTCCAAAAATTTAGTTTATAGTAGGGATAAGCAGGGTGATGGGTAAAAACCATATGGGGAAAAGAGAAAAAGTGTCCAGATAGATGTTAAAGATATAAAAGAGAGTATATAACAAATGGACAAGATTGCAGAAGGGGGAGGAAATCAGATTCAGGACACAGGAGAAGATAACCTTATACAGCAGGAAAAAGGCTTCTTACACAGATCAAAAGGGAAATAATAGAGTTCATGTGGGGAAAAGAAGATGAGTATGGAAGCAGGAAGTTAAGGGAGTTAGTAGATGGTGAGCTACATCATCTCTGTGTAATAAACAGCAGACAGGAGACATGAAGGGTCCACAGGGAGATTTAAGGAGTTTGACAACAAGGAGAAAACTCCTCATCTTAGGCTTTTCCAAACCTTTTCAATGGTAATAGAAAAGCTTTTATTTTTAAAGATAAGGAGTATCCAGTACATTTCAGAATATATTTTATCCAAAAGTAATTAAAATGAAAAGAATGCTGAATGTGTTTAGTTAATTCCTTCATACTTAGGAAAAGTTCATTATCCAACCTTGAATAGCCAAGATTTATAGTATTTTATTTCAATACATTAACTACCTAGTCAATTATAATGAGACATTATAGCTGCTTCTACTACAATTTTGTGGGAGGTACTAGATTGGTTTATGAAATACCAATAAACTAATCATAAGGAAATTTCTTATCTGCTCTTAGGAGTAAGTTTTAAGTAGACAGCACTGTCCAAAACTGGAATGGATTTCCTAAAAACTACTGATGATCAAATTACTGGAGAGGCATTTAGCATACTTTTCAAGTCTCAGAATGTAATTCTTTAGAGGTTCTTCTTAAATGTAACAGTAAATGTTTTAGGTTTACAGACTCTTGGCTCTCATAAGCACTCAACTCATCCACAGGTAGGTCAAATGCAACCACAGAAAACATGTAACCAAATGGGCATGGCTGTGTTCCAATAAAACTTAATTTGCAAACACAGATGGCTGGCCCACAAGCTATAATTTTTTAACTCTTGTTCTAACTTTTCAGTTTACTGCTAAGGAACGTGATTAAATACTTATATTCTTTAGTTTTTTCATGTTGAAGTAGAGTAACAAATCTATTGAATTAATAAGTACATAAATTATATTTAACTGCCCAGTACACCCAAAGCATTCAATAAACGTGACTTCCCTTTCTCTATAGGTAGTGTGAGGCTATAGTGCTCACCTTCAAAAGGTCATAAAAGTGAAAAAAGAACATTTATGGTGTGAAAAACAAATGCTAACTTGTTAAGACAATGATGCAAAAATGATTTTGCTATTTTTCATGAACAAATCCCTTGTCTCAATTAGTACCTGAATTGGATTTATTCTGAAAGATGAAAGTCTACAATTCCTTGGAAATAATTTTACCAGATATTTAGGATTTTAAAATCTTACTTTAATATTTTATGTAATACAAACAAACTTTAGGGGCAGCTGGGTAGCTCGGTTGAGTGTGTGACTTTGGCTGAGGCCATGATCTCACAGTTCGTGAGTTAAAGTCCCAAATGGGGCTCACTGCTGTCAGCACAGAGCCTAATTCGGATCCTCTGTTCCCTCCCTCTGTCTCTCCCCTGTTTGTACTGTCTCAAAAATAAACACTAAAAAAAAAAAAAACCAAAAATAGACTTAATTTTTTAACCTTGGTATTGAGGGCCTAAAAACACTTAGAAAAGTAATACAATTTCAAAGGACTGTGATGCTGCCCAATGATGTTCTGGGGGGTGGAAAAGGATGGGGAAGTTGAAAAATGCAGTATGAATAGCCTTCTCTGACTTTGTTCCGCTACCATATGCTATTTTCTGTATTATAACTTATTAAAGTAGAAAGACAGCAGTCTTAGATGGCAGTCTAAGATGATTCTGAAACAAGTTGAAAAGTGTTTTCAAAAAGTCTACAAAACGAATAATAATAACTATATAAACAAAGATTCTTGAAACTCACCATCTCTATTAGTTTCCCATTCTACATTCTCTTCTTCACTTTCCGGAGTTCTCTCCTTAGTGATTTTAATGTCTTCCTTTTCCCTATGTCTCCCTCTTGAAGATTCTTTCTAAAAAGTATATATATGCATATAGATTACCATATTTTTAAAAATTCTGAGATAGCTATATAATACAGAATATTTCTAGCTTCATCTTTGTTTCATTAAAGAATCTATTTAGCAAATAACCACTTATCAACTAAATAGAAGTGACAAGTTCTAGTGTAGCACCATAATGAAAACACTGTATTTTAAAAAACAGCAACTTAATAAAAGGAATAAATAAGATTTTAAAATATAAAATGCAAATACTAATAAGCACTGGATAGTCTAAAATATACCAGGTTTTTGTTTCTAAGTTTCTAGGGGTAAAAGAATTTAAAATGGATAAAATAAACAAAAGGATTTTTAAGTGACCATATTAAAAAATGACTTAAAAATGGCTACATTTCCACAATAGACTCAGAAGTAATTACTGATCTAAAGTTTATCATAACACTTAATGTAACAGCATTTTCCTACACACTTCAGGATAAATCCAACTCATTTGGTAATTTTATAAATGCTTTTTGAAAAAGATGTTCCCCTATTCTGATAAAATCAAAATCATGGCTAAAATAGAAAATTAGTCCTTATACTATAGTTAAAAACAGAAAAGTTTATATTTTATTCTAGGTGTAACAGTATCCTACAGACAGGACAATTTCAGCTTATAAAATGCAATTAAATAACTATATAAGATAAAGACTCCAAACAACACTTTACTAAGTGGTAAGAAAATAACCAGTGTCATAGAATTGTCACCGTCCTACCACAGTGTTTCACTTTATTAACACTCTATATTCTGTGTAAGAAACTATAATTCAAGGACATTAATTGCTGAAAATTCTTTTTGGGCACTACCAAACATAAAATGGGGCTGCTTAAAACACAAATTAATTTTTCTTTGAAGCCTTCTTTTAAAGAAATCTAGTATACATTTTAATTGTCCCTAAATTTTACATATTAAGGTATAAAGTCATGTTGTATCACTTGCTAAGTGATACATATGGTATGATGATAAAGGCTGACAAAAGTATTAGAAAAGGTTCTACAAAAGTGGAACCAGCCATGGAAAAATGCAAGGAGTGAGGAAGGAGGGAAGGAAGGAAGGAACTGCTATTTATACATAAGACTAAAAGAAAAAAAGGGACACAATTATTTTTATTCTTAAAATATATTCCATGGATTATTAATGAAGAACTATTATATATCCCTTGTAAATTTTCAATGTTCTGTGGATTAAAATTACTATAATTTTACATCAGTACAATTTATATAAAAAAATTTTATAGGAAGTCATCTCCAATTTATTGAAAAATACATTGTTTTCCAGTGTGGAGGTTCCTCAAAAAATTAACAATAGAACTCTCCTATGACCCAGCAATAGCACTGCTAGGAATTTATCCAAGGGATATAGAAATGCTGAGGCATAGGAGCACATGTACCCCAATGTTCATAGCAGCACTCTCAACAATAGCCAAAACATGGAAAGAGCCTAAGTGTCCATCAACGGACGAATGGATCAAAAAGATGTGGTTTATCTACACCATGGAATACTACATGGCAATGAGAAAAAATGAAATCTGGCCATGTGTAGCAACATGGATGGACCTTGAGGGTGTTATGCTGAGTGAAATAAGTCAGGCAGAGAAGGACAAATAGCATATGTCTGCACGTATAGGAGGATTAGGAGGAACTTAACAGAGGACCAAGGGGGAGAAGAAGGGGGGAAATGGTGGGGGAAAGGGAGAGAGGAAAACCATGAGAGACTCTTGCATGCTGACAAAAACTGAAGACTGACGGATGTGGGGGGGAGGGGGGATGGGCATGGAGGAGGGCACTCGGGATGAGCACTGGGTGTTATGTGGAAACTAATTTGACAATAAACTACTTGTAAAAAAAAAAAAAAAAGAAAAAAAGAAAAATACACTGTTTTCTACTTAAAGTATCATATAATACCCAACTACTAATTTAGGTGAAAAGGGCTTCAGAGAAGTAGTAGCTGATACTGTAAAATAAAGTAACTTGCAAGTATGTAACAAAGTATTTTTTAATGGATTTAGAACTAAAAATGCAATCACCCCAATAAACATCATCAGTAACTTATGTAATTATTTCAAATATTCATCCTATATAATTATGTAATTTTTGAATTGCTTTTTAATATGACTGATACTGTCCTGAGAGATCATATATAACTTCTGTTATTAAGTACTATTAATGCATGCTTCAATATATGATGGAATTTCATTCAAGCTAGAAGACACATTTTTTCCTAATATTATGTCACTATCCCACCTTAAATCAAAATACAGGAAATCGTTTTAATAACACTTATTCAGAAGGCTCAGGTCCTTTTCTAAAATGTCATTATCTCATTTTTTTTTTTCAATTCAACAATGTTTAGGCATAATTTGCTATGTTACACCTTTATCAAATAGTTATTTCTCACTTTCTTTTACCATATTCAAATAAATAGGGTCTGGTATTCCCTGTCCCACGGAGAAGAGCATGGCCTGCTCTCACCTCTTGAACAGAGTAGCTTGTCATCTTATTTCTTTTAAATGCAAACATATTAATTAGATGTGCAGCTGGGGGCACCTGGGTGACAGTCAGTTAAGCATCATGTCACAATCTCATATGACTTCAGCTCAGATCATGATCTCACGGTTCTAATTAGAGCCGCGCATTGGTTCTCTGCTGTCAGCACAGAGCCTACTCTGAATCTTCTCTCTCTCTCTCTCTCTCCATCTCTCTCTCTCTCGGTCCTTCCTCCTTCCTTGCAAAACTAAATATTAAAAAAAATTTTTTTAAAAGATGTGCAGATGTTTGATTACTTTATTATGTATTCTAAATTAGTCATCCCAGAACATGTACATGTTGAAATACTTGTTAATGAACTAAAATATTTTAGCCAGTACACGTTGGGATGAGATATTTTGAGAATCCAGAATTTTTTTGGACTCCAAAGTATGTTAAGTAACACTACCGAGAGCCTGGAGCAGCAACCTGTGCTCAAACATACTAATATTTTTGTAGCAAAACATGAATTTACCAATTGTATAAAGACTATAATTAGCTTCATGTCAATTAAAATTAGGTTTTGCTGTCAAACAAGTCTAAGCCTCACTTAGAAAAGTTGGTCTTAAAAATTTCTTACATTTCAGAAATGCAATAAATGATTGTAGACTTTTACTTTATTTTTGTAAATGTTTATTTATTTTTGACAGAGAGAAAGAGAGAGAGACGGAGCATGAACAGGGGAGGAACAGAGAAGAGAGGGAGACAAAGAATCTGAAGTAGGCTCCAGGCTCTGAGCTGTCAGCACAGAGCCCAACGTGGGGCTCAAACCCAAAAACTGTGAGATCACGATCTAAACTGAAGTTGGACACTTAACCAACTGAGCCACCCAGGCACCCCTGTAGACTTTTACTTTAAATTATTTTCATTTTATTTTTAGTTTACAGTACATTCACATTTATTCCCTAAACACTGTATGTATGGACAGGTAATATTCATTATGAATTTTATTTTTTTAATATTTTTAAAAAGTTTAATGTTTTTCATTTTTGAGAGAAAGAGTGTGAGCAGAGACAGGTGGAGAAAAAGGGAGACACAAAATCTGAAGCAGCCTCTCAGCTCTGATCTATCATATAGCACAGAGCCCAACACGGGGCTTGAACTCACAAACCACAAGATCATGACCTGAGCTGAAGGTGGATGCTTAATTGAGCCACCTAGGCACCCCATGAATTTTACTTTTAGATAGTCATAAAATGTTAGGGGTCTTTGTAAATAATATAATCCAACCCCCTCCTGCCCTATGTAGGAAATTTTTAAAATATCATATAGTTATGGAAGTCTTGTTAGAAGAATGTCAGGAAAAATATTTACTCCCTAGGTTTCCACTGACAGTTCTTCACTGCTGCGCCCTCTGGTCCCCATTTTCAGATAGCTCTTAAGTACTAAAAAGTTCTTTCTTTTACTGATCACAATTCTCTTATACCTCTCCAGAATTTCTGATTGAAATCCGTTCTGACCTCTAGATCGTGTTAAAATAAATCTAAGATTTCTTTCACACATTAGCCCTTTAAATATTTGAACCGTTATTAAATCTCTTGAACATTTTCTACGAGGCCAAAGACAGGCTTCATACTGATCATACATCAACATTTCGGGATTTTCCCACTACCACTCTTCCAACTCCCCTGGGCACATCAATCTGCCAATGTACTTCAACAAAATATGAAAACTAAAATTAATCCATTCTTGCCAGAGCAGCAGACAGCATATGGGTTTTACCTCTCCTGGTGTAGAAATGAAATTATACTTGTACTAATAAAGTCTAACTTGTTTTGTAGGATAAGTTTTGAGTGGAACTTAAACATACTGTAAGTTTACAAACTACATAAATTTAAAGTACAATCTCACATAAAATATGGTACATTTCAGGGCTGGGTGATTTAGTAACATTCTGAAATCATCAGATATCAAACTTTCTTGTATTGTTCCGCTCACAGCTCTGCCATTCCTACTGCTGACTTCACATTAAGGCATGTTTCTTTTCCCATAAGAAGCAATCTAAGTTCTCCCAATGTGCCTCTCCCTGAATCACGAAGTAAGAATTCATTCCTTAAGTTTGAGTAGGCCGACATCAGTCACATGACCACATCTAAATCAATAACTAATTGATCAATAAATCAAAAACTAATGCCAAGGTAATGGCCAGAGGTAAAATGACTTAGTTCCTGGCTCCTGAGTCAACTGTATTAGCAAAGAGAATGGGATTATTATGACTGATTTAGACTAATCAGGTCCCAGCAGCAAACCAGGGTCAATTCCCCAAAACCACAATGCATCTATAAAATGAAAAAGTGATAGAATGGATCTGGTGACTCAAAGCAATTTACACTACACTTTTGGAACTACACTTCACCTCTTCAAAGTACAAGGCCACATTTGTGACTTCATAGGCCGAAACAAAATGAACTGTCCAACCTAGTAAACATTTTCTCTGTTCATCTCTA